AACGCAATGGGATTTGCCCCAGGAGGGTCCCCCAGAACTGACACCCAGCAAAGGGGAAACAGAGGGGTTAACACCATTCCCAAAAATATTTGCACCACTTGAACCTTCATTACCACTATCCAAACATGCGGCCAAAAGGCTGTGGGTGACATGCAATACATCAGTGTCAACAGTATTCCTGATACCCTGAGCAACCACAGCCTCCCCGGGGGCCCCTATTGGGACATTCCCACCATTAACAGGCAAAATCTCACCATTTCCTGCAGCTTTCTGGACTCCTGCAGTTGTCTCAGAGTAACAGGAATCTCTTCCAGGCACATGTCCAAAAGGTGGCTTTTCCACTGACATTACCAGCAGCAACGTCTGCAGCACCCAAACTGAAAGTGGAACCAGAAGCCACCGCCAGGGCTCCACGTGTCCCGCAAACCGGAAGTGACGTCACCTGAAGTGCTCTGCAAACCAGAAGTGACGTCACCCGCGGCACGTCCGGCTCCCAACTCCAACTCTTTCACCTTTAGTTTGGCATGGACCAGAACGGATCCATCAGATGCCATCTTAGACACATCTACCCTAGTCAGCTCAACAGGGATACCCAGGACCTGCTCCACGGGGGCAGAGCCTGGGTCTCCTTCAACAGCACTGACAGCAGAAAGTAGGGCAACAGTTAAGGCAGAGGGAAGGGAAGAGGGGGGGAGGGGTGTTGGGAAGGGACACTGGAGAGGGAACCTCCAAAAGTACACTGGTGCCATCACCAAACTAGGATGCCTCCCCAGGCACATGGGGGGAAGCATTGGTGGGGGGTACAGGCAGATCAGGGCAAGGAGGGCAATCCACCATCTTTTCCTCGCCCTGAGGCTGTGAAGGCGGAAAATTCACCCCAGAATAGACAAACTCACCCTCCTCGCCAGATCCACCCGACCCCTTTTCTTGCACAGAGACCTCTGGCGCCCTCCTCGAGGAATCCTTTTTCTTCTTTTTCTTTCCTGCCTTAACACTTCCTTCGCACAGTTCTTCTCCAAACGTTAGTAGACTTTCCTTAATAACCGGGCTGCCATTTTCCTCAGGCACATTAAGACACCACACATCCTCCTTCTGGCTGACACCTTGCGTTTTCTGGCGCTGACCATCTTTCAAAGCTCTGGCCATGGAAGGGGGGCAAAGTGTATTATGTGTGTGTGGGGGGGCAAAGTGTATTATGTGTGTGTGTGTGGGGGGCAGTGTATAAAATGTATGTGGGGGGCTTAGAAGGGGGGGCAAAGTGTATTATGTGTGTGGAGGGGAGGGTATTATTTTATTTGTGCAGGGGGGGTGTATTAGTGTGGGGGGGTTGTATGTTTCTGTGTGTATATTAGGCCCCATTCACACCTATATTTCAGGTGCGATTAGGGATTCCTGTGTCACAAACTTGCGTCTTCCTGCAGCATGAATCCCTAATCTGGCATTTACATGCAGCAACTGTCTCCCATTCAAATTAAGGATCGGGTGACAGCCCCTGCATGTACACGCCTGCACACCGCATGTAATGGTATGTTATATGATTACATGCAGTTACAAAAACAATCACTATCCATGGATAAACAATTCCTTCCCTGGATAAACAATTGTGTAACCACTGATAGGAATCTGTCACTAACTGCATGTAATCCTTTCCGGGACTGCCGCCTCCCGCGCCGCCTCCGGGGTGGAAACGGACGCCGGCGGCTGCTGGGAAAAGCTCTGCGCTCCAAGTAAGGTCTAGTGCAGACCTTACTAATGATCACCACTAGATTACCAGGGAACGACGATGTGACTCCTCCCTGCACGGATGAAAGCAGGTGAGGGGGCTTGGAAGGAAAGAAGGGAGGAAGTTTATGAGGTTTGCTGGGGGGCGTGGGAGGGAGGGAGTTTATTATCCGCTCGCCCCCTGGGCGGTGGGCCTGCTCCGGCAACTCGGGGGTGTGTTTTTTTCTTCTCGTTGAGCTTGAACCGGGGCTGACACTTGGGCTCTCTGAGCATGACGAGCTGTCCGGAGGGCGCTTGGTTCTTTTTCTGTTTTGTTTTTTTCTCTTTGTTGAGCTTGAACCGCAGCGGACACTTGGGTTCTCCCAGCATGACGAGCTATCCGGAGGACTCTTGGTTCTTTTTCTGTTTTCTTTTTCTCTTCGTTGAGCTTGAACCACAGCGGACACTTGGGTTCTCCCAGCATGACGAGCTGTCCGGAGGACACTGTCCTTTTTTTCTGATTTTTTTTTTTCTCTTCGTTGAGCTTGAACTGCAGCGGACACTTGGGTTCTCACAGCATGATGAGCTGGCCGGGGGACACTTGGTCCTTTTTTTTCTGATTTTTGTTTTTTATAAATTTTCTCTTCGTTGAGCTTGAACCGCAGCGGACACTTGGGTTCTCCCGGCATGACGAGCTGGCCGGAGGACACGGTCTTGTTTAGATTTTTTTTTTCTTCTTTTTTTTTTCTCTTCGATGAGCTTGAGCCACAGCGGACACTAGGGTTCTCCCGGCATGATGAGCTGGCCGGAGGACACAGTCTTTTTTTCTGATTTTTTTTTCTTTTTTTCTCTTCGTTGAGCTTGAACCGCAGCGCATAATGGGTTCTCCCAGCATGATGAGCTGGCCGGAGGACACAGTCTTTTTTTCTGATTTTTTTTTCTTTTTTTCTCTTCGTTGAGCTTGAACCGCAGCGCATAATGGGTTCTCCCAGCATGATGAGCTGGCCGGAGGACACAGTCTTTTTTTCTGATTTTTTTTTCTTTTTTTCTCTTCGTTGAGCTTGAACCGCAGCGCATAATGGGTTCTCCCAGCATGATGAGCTGGCCGGAGGACACAGTCTTTTTTTCTGATTTTTTTTTCTTTTTTTCTCTTCGTTGAGCTTTAACCAAAGCTGACATTTGGGTTCTCCCAGCATGACAAGCTGGCCAGAGGACACTTTTTTTTTTTTCGTGGAGCTGGAACCGGGGAAAATCCAGCAGACAAACAGTGAAAAAATCCAAGATA